AAATATATATTATATTATAATTATATATATTATATTATAGTATAATATAGTATAATATACTATAGTCATAATTTTTAACTATCCACAGCAATTCAACCTTATAATTTATCAAACGCTGATTTTGGAACTAGTACAATTATTATAATTATAGTTTAACAAACACTTAGCTGTTTTTTGTAACAGCTGTTTTTTTTTTTCAGCACAGCTAAAACTAATTTTTTTAAAATCTACGGCAATACTAAACTAAGCCAAAAATACCTAACTCTTGCACCAAGATGCACATTGGTATCCCCTAAAATTCTAATCCTTCCTTGCATCTGATTAAATATATTAAAAAGAAAAGAAAAAAGAAATATTCATACAAAAGGGAAGAAAACTGGGGATAAACCAAAAAAGAACTACAAGAGTGAAGAGATGAAACGTGCACGCAGATGCAACACCACAAAACCGAAAACGCATGGGCGCCAAAAAAATAAAAGCAAAATAATTGAGAAGAACTCCTGAAGACAACACTTGAAGAAAAGCTGGCCGAGGATAATCTCAAAACAAGGAAAATTGAAGAACAAATATAATTAACATGGCAAAAAGTACACCTATACAAACAAAAAGCAAGTTGTGATGGAAAATAATCAACATGTATGTTGCAATTAAAGTTCAATAATTAAAGTTCACCTAACAATTCATACGAAACTATAAACTATTCCTTTGAACCTTCCTATATATGGACAAATATTGACTTTTACTTTGCCAAGTCAATTGTGGGACCATTCGTTCTGATCACCACAAGGTAGTAATGAGCAAGTTGGCTGAAAGATACAAGTTTACTACATTCCCTTGAATATTATTTTGTCCTTCAAAAATAAGAGTAGTAACATTGTTAATCATCACCAAACTGTTAGTGTTGTGACGTTTTAGTCCTTGAACTTTTAATGTTAAAAAATTATTAACACTGATATCAAAATTGATAAAGGAAAGATAATTAATCACATCGCGGTATTAACTTAAAAATTTGAAGAAATTGTCACACTAATTGCAAAATGTTTTAGTTTTCAAGGGTTTTTTAGAATAATAAAGAGAGAATTTTGCACTTAATGTTATAATTAGCTCTATAAAATTTCATCTTATACACATTAGACACATGATTATCTCTGTTAAATTATAAAAATTCATCATCAATATTTGTAAAGTCAGGGGTTAAAATTGTAAAAAAATAAAATAAAAATAAAATAAAAGTTGAAGAATAATCTGTCAAAACTAATAGTGCTAATAATCCTCGAAAATATAGTCGACATGTGACGTTGACTTGACTAGACTCCTTCACTTTACCGAGGGATCAAGTACTGCAAACGCCTTCTCTATATATACACTACTCTAGTCTCATATCTCACACACCAAATTAAAGAACAATATAAACTTATATTCAGACTTCAGTAGTATAGACAAATTAAATTAAAGGTTGAATATGGAAGAGCTAAGAAGGGCAGCCGTGGCTTACTACAACAACAGCTGTCCAGATTTTCAGAATAAGGCATGGGAGTTCTTCAAATCGATGGACACGGACGGCGACGGCAGAATTAGGTTTGCTGAGTTCAATCAGTTCCTTCACTGGAGCGGCTACGGCTTTGTCGACCGCAACTGGTTCGTGCACCTCGACGCCAACCGCGACGGCTGCCTCGACTTCTGGGAAGTCCTCACCTTATACTACGTCCTCAAGACCAGAGGCGTCTGGTGCGCCCAATGCCACACCCAGCTCCACGGGCTCTACTTCACTTGTGTCGAGTGCTTCGACGCTGCTTGCTCCTACGATCTCTGCTCTGACTGCTACTCCCATCGCAATTTCAGCCACTACCACAGCCTCTTCTTGGATAGCTTCGTTCTGCTGAGAAGCAAGTTGGGAACCCCCGGACAGAATGTAAATATGGTACGAGACGAATACCGTTTTTTCTTTTTTGGAATATATCCGGTGACATACTAAATCTGATGATCATTCTCTTCGTGAGAATTTCTATGGGAATTATCTGTTGGATTAATGTTTTTAACGATCCGATACATTTTCAAACGGTCAAAAAATTAATTCAAACTAAAAAATAATTCCTACTAATAGGGAAAAACAGTTGTTGTGTTATGGAATTGTTCTTGTTTTTATTTTTCACTTTTGTTAAGAAAGAAAAAATGAAAACGATTTCAAACCGGCGTTTGACACAATTAAAGATAAAAAAACAGAAATGAAAATGATTTTTTAGTTTAGTGTAAAATGGGAGAGAAATTAAAAATAACTTTTAGTCGTTTTTCATTTTTTATTTTTGTTTTCTCCTTTCTCGAGCATAGAGAGAGACATTAATGGGTTTTTTATACTGAAAAATAATCTCTTAATAAAATTACCAAACGTATTTTTAAAAATGATTTCTGTCTGAAATTAAAAACGTTTTTATTTTTATTTTCATATAAAAAAAATAAAATCATTTTAGAATGAGTTTCAAACGCACCCAATATTTCCTAAAAAAATAAGTTTCTACGTACATTTCCAATTAATTTGAGACTTTTTTTTTTAAGAATGTTAAATATAAGAGTTTTTTTTTTTTATATAAAGTACACATAAGAGTGTTTTTCTTTTTTTTTTTCATAAAGTACACACAAGAGTTTGTTTCTGTTCTTTTTTTTTTTTTTTTTTTTTGGTTTTTGATAAAGTACACATAAGAGTGTTTTTTTTTTTTTTTCATAAAGTACACAAGTGTTTGTTTCTGTTCTTTTCTTTTTTCTTTTTTTCGTTTTTGATAAAGTACACATAAGAATTAAAAAACTCGAGATGGAATTATATATTGTAGAGAAAGAATACTCTAGTGATACTAATAGATTATTTTTATTTTTATTTTTATAGATTGTTAGTGAATGTTTGTAAACTGTAAAGATTTTCATTAAATTCTGATATATTTGTATTAATTTCTATTACTGACGTTACGTCTTAAGACCCTAGAATACTAGTAGTTGTAAGTGCCATGATATTATTCAATTCGTATACCAAACAGTTATGTCTATTTTCAGTACCTTTGATAATTACCCTCTCAATAGTTACTATGTCGATTTTTTTTTGTTTGTTCAATTACCAAAAATGTTAAAGATCAATGATCGATATTAATATGTACATACCTTGTAATTTGATGCAGGCAATCACTCAACCAGCTCAAAACGAAATTAGTTCCAATTCTGCGGTAAGTTTTCTTTTTAACTCTCTCCTTTAATTTATTTATTCATTTCGTTTTTTTTTTTGAAAATTCTCCTTCTTAAATTAGTGTCTGTAGACAAGCTGAAATGTGATCTTCATTAATTTATACCTAACGAAACTCATAAGGTACCATCTAGTGGAGTGTGCAGCTGTTAGTACGTACTAAAGATACACATATTTTATCGATAAATCCTCCTTAAATTTATTAGAATGATGCCTTCCATTTTAAAAGAAATTTCATTTGCAAATGCAAAAATAAAATTTAGATAGCTACATTTATGCAGCTAGCTTTTTGTATATATGATTCATTTGTGTTTATTTTAAGGTTTCTATTTATCATTGCCCTGAATTTATCACTTGGAATGTACCCCTAATTATATTTTGTTTTGTTTTGTTTTGTTTGTTTGTTTTTTTTTGTTTTTTTTTTGTTTTTTTTTTTTTTTGTTTTGTTTTTGTTTTTTTGTTTTTGTTTTTTTGTTTTTTTGCAATTAACTTGTTAAATTTTGATATATGTTGTAAAAGACATTATTAGATAAGGGTGATATTTTTTTAACTCAAATTTATTTTTAAAACAAAGTATCTATCCGAAATTTTCTGTTTTGATGAAAAAAAATTAAAAACATTTAACCCCAATAAATTTGGGTTAAACTAAATGTAAATGACCACTCATGCACTAATTAACGACCCTGGTCACGTCACATGACATTTTCTATCAAAACAATTAACACTATATATCCTGATCAATTGAGGTGTTTTGTCACATATATTTTTAAATTCAAAGGTTTAATCATCAAAAATATTAACATTGGGGGCACATATTGCCAAAGGGCAATAATTATTCAAGGGAGAACAATAGAAATAAGCCTTGTTTTTAAAGTGTTGCTGGGGCCTGAGGGTAGTACACTGGAATTCTCGACATTGACATTGATATTGCACGATTTCTTAACCAGGGAAAAAAAAAAGTGACTATATCCGTGATCCCTCAAAAGAATACCGCCTACAAATTAGAGTTGTCACATTAGTTGTCGCTTGCTGTAAAAAATTTGGGTTCCTTTTCTGTTGGTTTAAAATACGTATTTTCTTGGCGTAAATAAATACCCCTAACCCTGCAGTTTGATTATGTTAATTTCCAGAATTTTTGGCTCAATGCATTGGATGTGGCGCTTAGTGTCGCGAATATTGCCCAGACTCTCGCGGCTGGATGTAGCATTATGTGACACAAGCTCGAAAAGTAACAGTAAGAGGCCGGTTAGATAAAGGTTGAACCCTTATAAATTGTGTTCTTATTTAGTTGTTCCTAACCATACATTAACCCGTTTCATATTTGACAATTTACATTTAAACTCTCCAATTATTAACTTGTAAATGAATATTCAATTCTGACATTTGAGTACGTTAATTTTTTAGAATCAATGGTTTAGAGCATTGGAGTTGGCGGTTGGTGTCGGGAATTTGCTTAATGTTGGGAGTACTCTAGTTGGATGCAGCATTATGTAATTTATAATATCTCTGCTAATTAAATGAAAATCTAGCAAGAGATTGTTTGGCGTCACTTCTTTCAGCTTCCCTTATTTTGCAGCATTATGTAATTTGTTTTTAATTTTCTTCATTTTCAAAAGAATTATATATCTATATCCATATGTATTTTTGCTGGTTAGAACAAAACGTAAACACAGCCATGCACGAGAGCCTGAACACATACACTCCCTAATTGCATCAACATGATAGCTAAGTAAAAATCGAAAATACAGGGGAAAAAAAAATCATATGTCGCAGATTCTTGCAGTTTAGAGCAATATAGTCATGAAAAAGTGAAGTGGATAATCAAATTAAACGAAATTTTATTAAATCTCTTAAATTTAGTTTTTTTTTAAATCATTCAATTTTTTCTTTATTTTTGACAGTTGCATAAAATCAAAACTTGTTCTTTAAAACTTCTAGTATTAATCATGTGTGTAATATTCATTATTAGAGACGTTATAAGAAAAAACACATTGAGAGACTTATAGATGTAGAAGAGTTAAGTGTGATTGCTCTTTTAATCTGCTTCTTCATTATAGTAAACTAGACGTACATGATCATGTATGTTCTTATTTTTCTTATTTTTTCGTTCTTTGATTTCATTATTCTCAGTCGTAGAGGGAGATACTCAAATATTTAATGACCCATAATTAATATATATCCGTAATGGGGTAGGGTGAAGATACTCAAATATTTAGTCCGATAACACCCAAAACCTAATTAATTATTAATTATTATTTCCCTCGTGGACTCTCAATACCCCCTCGTGGAGTTGTGAGAACTCTAAGAAATTAGAGTTATTTCATGGTTTTCTAGCTCAAAATATGCTTAGCCAAAAGTTGTTTCACTGTTTTCTTTCACGTTTAATTACCTTAGATCTTTGAGTTCTACATTTTCTCTGGCTAAATTATGTATTTGTGCTTCTCTCGGGATAAGTTGGAGGAATTCGGATCAAAAAGAGGTTGAAATTTGTCTAAGACTTGGTTGTGTGTTTTGTTAGGAATAGTGTCCTAAAAGCATAAGATGTAATAGGATATTTGTTATTTAATTAATAAAAGAGTTTATTCATCATTTTATGTGCATATATTTATGAATATTTTATGAATATCAAATGAAAATTTCGTGATTATTTATGTAACCTTAAACATAGTATATAAGTGTTATATACGAGAGGATAGTGTTTAAGGATAATAATAAAAAACATTGTTCATGATGAATTTAATTAAAGTTCGGAATCTTTAATTAAAACATTATTAATACATGTCATTCCCATTTAGAATGGAACGGTGCTATCCGCACTGTTAACATGGTGAGATATTGAATGAGTGTATTACGCATAATAAGATTATGTGGAACATGGACACAGACACAATATGAATTTCAAATAATTTCCGTTAAGCATAGAAATTCTAATTGAGTCTACCGATGGTCATATATAGAATGATCTTAATCCTGAGTTCTTAACAAACTCTTCTTTATGGATTTATGTCTTTTGATTTACTCGGTACGGATCTATTCCTTGTATTTTGGAGACATGATGAAATAGGCAGCTGGAAATGTTATTATATGAGATGGAATCCATTCCTTCTTGAGAAAGAAGTAGATAAATAATTCTCTTGAGTGTTGATTCACTTGGATTAGTAAGAGTGCTCTGGTTCATGAATGTGTTTTATGAATCACTATCCATTA